TCTCCCCTGCCACACAGTGGCAGGCAGACTGCTGCTGTGTGGAAGGGAGACAGATGCTGTGCTTCTAGACATTCCTCCTCACAGAGAGCTCCCAGAGCTACTAATAATGCTGCTCCCAGTAGCTGAGGAGTCTGTGGGAGAGCGATGAGGGAATCCCAAGATGCGCAGGGATCAATTCTGCCTTCCCACAATATTATATAGTGGGATACATATGCAGAATGCATTGCTTACACTGTTGAGGGTGCCCCCAACGTGGACATGGTCTGTTGACAGAGCAAGTCTGAACATTCTCTGGTGATTTTTGTTTTGTCGCTTTTGGGTGTCAACATAAGTTTGGCCAACAAATTTTGTACAAAATCTCATTCTGAAAAGTTAATCACAAAAGTCAACACAATCCCAATTGCTTTGCGAGGTACTGTAGAGTAGTGATTCTGCTCTGTTTTTCTTTCAGATAATTAAAAGTGTATTTCTGAATTTTAAAAGGTTATTTTTACAATTCATTTCAGGCAATAATCACATGAAGGAAGAAAATTACGTTGCTGCAGTGGATTGTTATACTCAAGCTATAGAGTTGGATCCAAATAATGCAGTATATTATTGTAACAGGTAAAAACAGCAATAAAAATCCCTTGAACTTCCTAGAGATTTTTAAAAAGAAAAACTGAACTTGATCAAAACAAGGTGAAGTAAAAAGGCTTCTCTTTCAGCAAGTAAAAACTTGATTTATACCAGTTTGATTATGCGTGTTTTAAAATGTATCATTTCAACTACACTTGGATGTTTTGTCTTCATTATACTTGCAGTGTGCATTTTAACTTTGTTTCAAGATTGTATTTAATGATTGTTGGCAAATCGAAGCACCTTTTATACTAGAAATTGGTAAAGGCCTGATTCAAAGCCTATTTGAGCTACTGGCAGCCCTTCTTTCACATTCTAATGGATCAGGCCTAATATGCATGAATTTTCCAGAGGAAAAAAAATTTAAGTGCTTTAAAGATGAAAAGGATTGTATAGGAACTAAATATTTTTATGTCAGGATTATTGCAAAAGTAATAGTTCTACATAATGCATTTCTAATACAGATTATTCTCCCTAGATACTAAGACCTGGTCTACACTGGGCATTTAGCTGTGTTAGGTCGATTTTCTAAACAATGAATCCACTCTACCAAGCCCATTTTGTTGACATTAGGGTGGTTAAAGTCGATTTCTGTACTCTTGCTTTCACGAGGAGTAACTACTAAATTCGCTCTTGCATGGTCGTGCAGATGCAGTACTGTGAAATTCGACATTCTTGGCCTCCAGGAGGTGTCCCACAGTGCCCTGTGCTGTCTGGTTTGGCCATGGTTTGAACTGTGCTGCTCTCCAGGAGAACAGGAAAAGCCCCAGGAAAATCTGAATTTCATTTCCTGTGTGGACAGCGTGGTGAGCAGATCCAAGAGCATGCAGCACATCTGAGCAGCACACCTGACCATGAATTCCATGAGTTCATGTTCCATGAGCTCCATTAGTCCCTACGGTCACAGAAGAGCACCAGCATGGAGAACACAAGAGGTATTGGACCTCATTGCTGAGTGGGGAGAGGAATCTGTTCTTGCAGAACTACAAACCAACAAAAGAAATGCAGATATCTATGCCAAAGGGCATGGATGAAGGAGAAAGAATATGCATAGATGCCCAGCGGTGCCAAGTGAAAATAAAGGAGCTGAGGCAAGCGTACCAAAAGACAAAGAGGCAAATGGATGGTCTGGAGCATCATTGCTAACATGCTTCTATAAACAGCTTCCCTAGCCAGTCCATAGATTCCTCCCAACACACTTAGGCAGCCTCAGGCAGCAGCGTGGAGAACGGCATGATGCAAGAGGAGGAGGAAGAGAATGATCAGCAGGCAAGTGGGGCAACTGATGTCACCGAGAGCCAACAACTTTTTATAACCTTGAAGACAATCCCCTTCTCCCAGGACATCTCATTTGGGCACTGATCCCAGGCAGGGCACTTCCGGTGAGTTTAAATTTTTATTTTGTTAGCTCACTTTTAAGGCAATCGAGTGTGATCTGTGGCATCCACTGTGCCTACACAGTGGGGGTCCCCGGAACAGCTTGTTAACACGTCTGGAGATGGAACGGGAATCCTCACTGCACATCTCCATAAAGCTATCCTAGAGGAACTCTTTGATCCTTCTCTCAAGGTTTCTGGGTAGGCTGCCTTGTTCCATCCTCCACAGTAGGATACCTTTCTATGCCAAGCCAGCAGTAAGTGGTCTGGCATCATTGCAGCACAGATGATGGCAGCATAAGGTCCAGGTTTCTGACCACATTCAGTCAGCATCTGTTTCCTATCACTCCTTGTGATTTGAAGAAGGCTGGTATCTCTCATGGCAACCTGGATGAAGCAGGGGAAGCTATTAGCTGATGCCTCTGCAGTAAACCTCCGTTTGTTCGTCCCCAGTGAAGCATGACTTGAGTCCCTGCTGCCAGGCCCAGCCTCTCTCCCGTCCCTCCCACCCAAGCATCTGTTTCCTATCACTCCTTGTGATTTGAAGAAGGCTGGTATCTCTCATGGCAACCTGGATGAAGCAGGGGAAGCTATTAGCTGATGCCTCTGCAGTAAACCTCCGTTTGTTCGTCCCCAGTGAAGCATGACTTGAGTCCCTGCTGCCAGGCCCAAACTCTCTCCCGTCCCTCCCACCCACCCACTCTTGCAAGAAGAGACAGATGCATTTTCCTAGCAAATGAGGGATGGGTGCTGAACACATAGGTCACACATGAGCCCCTACCCTGATGCCATGGCTGGACCCCATCCCCCACTCCCTCCTGCTTGCTCCTGTTGGTAGCAAAAGTTGCGCTTTTCTGGCAAATATGGGGGGTGGGGTGCCAAACACCTGGGTGCTGTGTAAGCCCCTTCCCTGCCCTGAACTGCTCATCTAAGAACTCTGTGTATGAAGGATGTAAAATCCCATTTAATTGGCTGATCGTTTAACTGATTAAAGGGGGAGTAAATGCAGGAACAGTCCCTGTCTGTGAGGTGCCTGGGCCTGCAGCGGATAGAGATTGCTGTGGCTGGCTGCAGGCAACGGCTGTTCTGGCATCCTAGCTGGAGCAGCCCTTGTCCATGGCGGGCCCGTTGCAGATTTGGAGCAGCCCCCTTTGGCTTCCACCAGTTAACCATTTAAACCTTCACATCCCTAATGTGTAACTGCTGCAAAATAGCTGCTTAAAAGCATAACTGTGGCCTTATACATAACACATCCCTATTGTCTTTAGACAAACCTTCCTTTTATTCTAATCGATTAGGATTTACACTCTACAAAATATCTCCTGTAAAGTCTGCCCTTCGCTTTTCTCTACATCAGGAATATGAGTCAGCCTGCTGTGCATTCTCCTGGTCCCACCAGCTGTCTGCCTGGCACAGATCCACAGACTAAAATGGACTAGGGAAGAGATGTTCAAGGAGCAAATGCAATCTGCCTGTTAAGACAGGGGAATATGTAAGTGAGTGGAGAAATATGCTGTTGGAAGAGATGAGCATGGAGTGTAAGGAAAGGAAAACATGCAAGAAAGGGATGTGAAGCACCAGGAGAGAGTGTTGTCATCCATGGCTGTTGTGATGGATCATATGACAGCTTTCCAGGATGTTTACCTGAACAGGCACCTGCTTTAGCCCTTGCAGACCAAAGTTCCCTCTTCTCTGAGTTCCATAGCCTCCCCTCCCAAGCCCCTAGAATGCAGGTGTGGGGCGGGAAGGGGTAGTTAAAGGCAGCCTCACTCTCAATCTCCAGTGACATGTCATGAAGCAAAAGACTGTCTTTCTCGCAATTGTGATTGCCCTCCTCCCCAAAGCTCCCACTCTAGGCTCCTTTTCTGTCCCTGCTGTATTCCCTAAATAAAAGTGAATGATTTCTGAACAATAGTCTCTTTATTACTTGTATTAAGAGATTGGGGGTTACAGGTTATGACACTGAATTGCAGGGACACCTTGTTGAGAGCAACATGCATGACTCTCAAAATTGGTGATTCATAAAACTGTCTTTTCAAGCTTTTCTGATTTGTACTACCCCTTGCTGTGCTCCTTTTATTATCCTGGTGTCTGTTCAAAATCTCTGACTAGGAGCTGGTCTTTGGCACTCCACCCTGATAGATACATTCCTCTTTACTCTCACAAATATTATAGAGCACACAGCAGGCTGCCACCACAATGGGAATGTTGCATTTGCTGAGGTCTAACCTAGGTAGTAGACTGAAGAATCTTCCCTTTAAATGCCCAAAAGCACTTTCTACCACCAGTCTGCAATTGCTCAGCCTATAGTTGAACAGCTTCTTACTGCAGTAAAGGCTGCCCATGTACGGTTTCAGGAGCCACGGAAACAAGGGGTAGGCTGGGTCACCAAGTATCGCTATTGGCATTTCAACATCTCCAGTTCTAATTTTCAGGTCTGCAGAAAAGTTCTAGCTTGCAGCTTGCTGAAGAGGCAGGAGTTCCTAAATATGTGTGTCATGCACTTTTCCCAACCATCCCACACTGATGTCAGTGAAAGGGCCCTTATGATCCATCAGCCCGTGCAGCACCATCAAGAAGTACCCATTGCTTTGATTCACAACAGGATCCATCATGGGTTCCAGGCTTAGGTTGTTATGGTGTCTGCACAGATAATCAACAAGAGAGAAAAGACTGTTTGTCATTGGTCTTAAGCATGGAGGGAGGGAGAAAATGAGTGCATAAGGGGCCACTGATGACATGTACCCAGACTAACCTACTGCACAGTTTTGGTGCCATCTTGCACTGGGAGCATAACCCAGAATTCAAAGGGGCTCAGGTAGTGTAGGATAGCTGCCCACAGTGCATGGCTCTCAAAGTCAACAGTAGCCACCCTGCTGGCAACTTACTAATTTGAACTATGTGGAATTCTTGCACACTGTGGGAACATGTACCCTCAACTTAACAAAATCAGGTGCTAAAACTTCAACCTTAATAAATTTGACCTTGTCTCTCAGTGTAGACATGGTGTAGACATGGCCTAAGAGGAATTATATAGTAAAGTATTTAATGGAGTGGTTTAGAGGTTGAACCATACCTTTTCTCTTACAACATACCAGTGCCATAAATTCTCTCTAGATGTAAACTGGTCATGTAGCCCATTGAAGTCAATTGAAAGACTCCCATTAACTCCAGTAGGCTTTGAATGAGCTAAAAAAAATGCGTAGTTAGCAACACAAAACAACTATTTAATGACTGTGTAAAACATGTGCAACTTGCAATGATCTGACATTGTAAAACAGACCAAATTCAGCTCTGGCATACCACCACTTGAAATAATTTAAAACTAGGAATGAATTTTGCTCTAGAAGTTTTGAAAATGGTGCAACAGACATAAGTTGAAATAGAGGATGGGTTTGTTTTACCTTAAGAAAAAGGGAGAGAAGAATGAGGACAATAAATATGAAAAAAAATTGAAGTGCATGTAGAGCTAAATACTGCTGCTGATTACACTCATGCAACTATATTGGCCTCAGTTGAGGTTGCACAGGTGTAAAGCAGTTCATAAAGTTAAAGACAATGAATACTTCCCAAAAGGAAGCAAAGTAACTTATCCCATCAAATCTAGACAAATAATATAATTCAGAAGGCATATTAGCAGTAAGGCTTAAATTACAAAAATATTTTATACAGAATTGTTCATAGAAAGCTAGCATAAAATACATTCAGAATTACTTATTCTGAAAAGTAGAATTTTAACTGTGAAAAGATTGAAACTTTTTTTTTTCTGAGTACCCTCAAATTGTTGGAAAATTGAATTTGAATACTGATCTGAACTCTTTGGCTTGGCCACTCTATTATCCAGATTTATAAATTAGATGTAAAAATAATTAGTGTTTCCCTGTTTAAAGTTCAGGAATTATTCAGAAATTATTGGGTCTCTTTATCCAGATTTCTCTACTAGCATGAGTGGTATTATACCCACAACTGTATTTCTACAGAGATTTTGAAAAAATAAGTATAGCTTCCTTACATGGGAAGAGTAGAAATTCTAGTTCCTCTAGGAATTCTCCTGGAGTCAGGCACCTGAGGGATAGATGCCTTCAACAGAAGGATTGTCACTGTGATATGAGACTGACAAGTATATGAGTAAAGGGCAGGGAGTATCCTTTAAATCTTGTGGAGTGGAAACAAAAAGTATTATTGTTGCAAAAGGTGACTGTACAAAATACTTGTTTTCTTAGACAGTCATAATAGATTACCCAATCTCCCATATGACAGTTTGATTTGTTATAATTGATTTAATTATATATTTTGTGTGTATCCATTTTCT